ACAGTAAAATATAGCCAGACTACGCTTAACTTACATATATGTACTTTTACTGTAGGTACTGTATGGTACTATAGGTAAGTGTGTTTAATTTTACTGAATATGTGTGATACATGTATTATACTTACGTATATTTAAGTTTTTAAGTACCTGATTATGAACCAATGTCACAGATGTTACTGATAAGCTATGGAACTCTTATTAAGTGTTTCCATTGGACTGCTGCACTGCTGATGTTAAGGGAGGATCTAAAGTAAATTTTGCCTTAACATCAATAAGTCTTTTCTAAGGAAAGTTTTAAGTTACGGAATACACTGGGGGCTTATTTGCAATAAAATGCCATAATTTATAATTAAGTTTGAGCATAAAAACCTTCTTTTTTTTCCCCTCTTACATCTTTATTAGGACTTAATCTTTATTAGGACTTACATCTTTATTAGGACATGTTTCTAGGATACTTACATTGGTCCTACTCATAACAAAAAGGGTATTGTACAAATTACCAGCAGTTTCATATATATCTTACATTAAATCATGACAGTCATGATAATTCATGGAGTTTTTACTGGTACATTACATCAATCTTAATACACAAAATAATGATAAAAGATAATGAAAACAAAATAAGTTCATACTGTAGCCCAAAAGATAACTTAAACATATGCATAAGAATTAAAAGTTTTCAAGACCTATGTACAGTGGAACCTTATAGAATTGTGTGGTTTATTTAACCCAATTTCTACTTAGAATTGGAATTACTTATCAAACGTTTCTAAATTCTTGTTGCATCAATTACAAAAAGTTATTTAAAATTTTGTTTAGTAACCTAACTGCCCCGATCCACAAGGTTCCACTGTACACAGTGACTTCACAGTTTATGTCCTTCTAAACTTGGTATCGGCTGTAGAACTGTGGTAACAACATTTTACCAAACTTTAATTCCAACACCAGATAAATGCTTCTTCCACAAACTGGTAGACAAGTAAATTTGTATAAACATCAGTACACCAACAATCTAGCGTAGCTGTCTGACACCATTACCTAAACAAAACCAAACACACAGAAACCATCTCACCACTTCTGTCCCCACAATAAATGCATAAACTAAAAACTTAAATCAAAGTCTGCTTGAAATTATTACTTATTACTGATCTTTTATTTGGCAGGTGCTCTAATTATAACCAACTAATCAGGTAAGTATGTTAAACTTAAAAGAAAGGTTTTCATAAAATTGGAATGTTTTTTTAACTTCTAAATCCATATTGCATAATGTTACCAGGATAATACCGTCAAACATCAAGGAAAGGCGACCAGACTTTAGCCGAGTTATGAGCAGGTTTTCTAGGTTTTAACAACATCTGAGCTCTGAGCACAGTTGTTCCCACGTGGTATATTACATCATTATAAACATACATACATACCGTTACATGTAATTAAATATTCATGACAGTAGATCTACATAATTATATACAAATTTTATATACATTAATTTCCTTAAGTCGTGACCTTAGAACATGACAAATTATCTACAACAAACATTTTTCCAAGATATCCTTAAAATGTCAGTAATCTGGATAACACTTTGTGCAAAGCAAATTTAGGAAATACCGCCCAGGAACGTTGTAACAACATTAAATTGTACCTACAACGCAGGTACACTGTATCTCAAATACACCTCAGTAAAGTCATCGTGTGGGGTTTAGGGGCTTGGGAGCTGCAGACAGAAAAATCTCAACCTAACCGTCAGATATTTCAGGTTTAGCACTAGGCTTTGCCCAGTGCTGAACTACAAAAACCTTATCCAGAAGGTTGAGATTTCTAAATTTGTATCATACAGGAGTAATGATTTTTCACTTTCAAAATGTAAACCTAACTTGTAATGGTGAACCCAAGGCACCATTTCATTATTAATGGTGCTGAAATATGTGACAAAATTGGTGACGTTACCCTTGTCACACAGCAGTAAGTGATAACACAATGGCTACCTTTTCAGAATAACAGTGTGTTTCAGCTGTCTTTCCCTACGAAGGTAAAGACAGGTCTCTCTTTTTCCTAGCAAAAGTGGGAATGCATCTGTAAAGTGTGGCAGAAAATATTTTTCTAGTGGTTCATCAATTTCGCATCGAAGGAGAAACAAGGAACGAAAACTGCTGATATTAATTAATCTGATGGTTAAGAAACTGTTTTTAGGTAAGGTGATGATGCTTGCATCCACCATCTGTAACATTCGATTGATTTTTGTGAAATTCTAGCTGTTTAAGCTTTTTTGAGTTGATATAAAAATTTGACGTATTTTATAATCTGTTTAACTCCATGAGAGAAGGGAGTGACATCTAGTCATGATTCCCCTACTCTGTACCTGCACTGATTATATATAGAAACAAGTACTAGGCTTATCAATGTCAGTATGTGTTCCAGTATAATTTCCCTGGAAGAAAACAACATTTGATCAGTATATATTGTTTATACAGGAGTGTCTTACCTTGACCTACATCCCTAGATATACTCAGAAAGTCAATAGGGAAGAATAACAAACTTTCTGGTTCGTCTCCAAAACGAACACTGACATTGTTTACCAAACATTCTAGTGATAATGACTATCAGATACATCAATCTCATCATTATGCATATCTTTTTTGACAATCATTGTCATCAAGAATGTATTTCAGAAGCAACCAATCAAATAATCAATACCATGTATAATTTAGAACTTTGATGTTATGAATTCAGAAATTGTTAACATGTTTTTGAAAGAATTTCAAGGTCTATTTTTTCTTTTGACAAGGTCACAATTTTTTTTAAAGTATATACAATTAACAATACAATGTGTGATAGAGATGTATACTAACAGCCAGTGGAGGAACAATCCAATGTGTGATAGAGATGTATACTAACAGACAGTGGAGGAACAATATGTACCGTATTCCTCCATAACTAGGTGTTTCATCACTGATAAGTGATCATATACAATTAACAATACAATGTGTGATAGAGATGTATACTAACAGACAGTGGAGGAACAATACAAGGTGTGATAGAGATGTATACTAACAGACAGTGGAGGAACAATACAAGGTGTGATAGAGATGTATACTAACAGACAGTGGAGGAACAATACAAGGTGTGATAGAGATGTATACTAACAGACAGTGGAGGAACAATATGTACCGTATTCCTCCATAACTAGGTGTTTCATCACTGATAAGTGATCATATACAATTAACAATACAATGTGTGATAGAGATGTATACTAACAGCCAGTGGAGGAACAATCCAATGTGTGATAGAGATGTATACTAACAGACAGTGGAGGAACAATACAAGGTGTGATAGAGATGTATACTAACAGCCAGTGGAGGAACAATCCAATGTGTGATAGAGATGTATACTAACAGACAGTGGAGGAACAATACAAGGTGTGATAGAGATGTATACTAACAGACAGTGGAGGAACAATACAATGTGTGATAGAGATGTATACTAACATACAGTGGAGGAACAATACAATGTGTGATAGAGATGTATACTAACAGCCAGTGGAGGAACAATCCAATGTGTGATAGAGATGTATACTAACAGACAGTGGAGGAACAATACAAGGTGTGATAGAGATGTATACTAACAGACAGTGGAGGAACAATACAAGGTGTGATAGAGATGTATACTAACAGCCAGTGGAGGAACAATCCAATGTGTGATAGAGATGTATACTAACAGACAGTGGAGGAACAATATGTACCGTATTCCTCCATAACTAGGTGTTTCATCACTGATAAGTGATCATATACAATTAACAATACAATGTGTGATAGAGATGTATACTACCAGCCAGTGGAGGAACAATACAATGTGTGATAGAGATGTATACTAACAGACAGTGGAGGAACAATATGTACCGTATTCCTCCATAACTAGGTGTTTCATCACTGATAAGTGATCAATGAAACAAATGTTTACAAAACCACCTTCAATGCTTTTATCCATCACCATTGACCATGGCTGTCTCACTGACCACCACTGAGTGACCAAGGCTGTCTCACTGACCACCACTGATTGACTATGGCTGTCTCACTGACCACCACTGAGTGACCATGGCTGTCTCACTGACCACCACTGAGTGACCTACAATGTCTCACTGACCACCACTAAGTGACCTTCAGACACAAGTGACTATGTTAAATGAAATAGTTTTTCCCGCCGTCCTCTTTATAACCTAGGATTTTTACTTAATATTCATAATTGAAAACAATAAAATTACATTTATTTGTGCTGAAAAGGACAATCACTTCATTAACACACTACATTGTTGCTAGTTAATTTTTGAAAAATTACAAAAGATAGGTTTGTTATAACTTATTGACAATGAGAAAAATATGATAACCAATTCAACTGTCACTTATTCACAATGTTGAGAAACTTTACTTACATTAAAGTTACACTTTGCCAAACACATATTTCAATTCTAACAGTAATAATGCATCAAGAAAATTATGTATACAAATACTTCTTGTGAGCCGGAAAAAGATGACACTAGGCAAGTGCAATAACCGAAACGTAAAGTATGCATGCTATTTCTATGCAAACAAACTTTGAACAAAACAGAATGTCAAGTTGTCAATACAAGCTTGTTATACAATGAATTTGGAAAAAGAACAGATGAAGAATTTGAAAGATCGTATCTGACTGACAAGCTCCGTCCCCGCGTGTCCTACAGTTATGTTGTCATAGTTACCCCACAGCACACCTGTCTCTAAAGGATCTATTGTAATAAAGTATATACTTGTTACACTGCCACCATTTGTTCAGAGGTTTTAAATTTTAAGAGTTTTTTTTTGGGGGGGGGGGGAATGTTTAAGGAAAAGCCACACATTTTTTGGCAGTAAAGGGTAAGGGAAGAGGCTATAGAATGGAGGGTCATTATTGCCTATTATTACCTACAGCAGAATCAGAGTGTTTAGTACGCTTTACTGATGACAGCAAGACATGTAAATTATTTTCTGTCGAGTACAGGTAACAGGTCCCATTCCTTCCATAAGGTTTAATTTATCAGAAAAATTGTGATTATGTTTTATAATCAAGAAGCACAAATATGGTAAGCCATTTTACTAAACAGACTGCTATAATTGTTGTTCTTTGTTTAATGTCCATGTCACATGACTATACTTCAATTGACCTATTTATATTAGTTATAAACATATATATATTATATAAACATTTATAAATGTTACATAAACTGACCTAACTTGACATTTGCTGTTGATTTCTAAACAGAATAACATGTAACAGCCATAAGGAAGTGTACTGTACAAGTTACAGGAGTGATGTACTAGGGGGAGTGGGGTTCCAACATTGCTTCATTATTTAGTTCATCCATATAATCGAAGATATGTTCAAAGAAAAATGTCATCAACCTTTTCCTCCTTCAACCAAATTTAAGAAGAATTCCAAAAGAAATCTCTGTTGTGAATGATAATTTGTGAGCTGATCACGACGTTGGAAGTGTTGTGTTTGTACATATCACAGCTATTACATAGTCTTGCTTTCCTGTTCAATCTGTTGTAGTATTTCATTCTCTATATCCCCGTCATCCTCGTCCAGCTCTGTCCCATCATTAACCATCTCATACTCCTGTAGTTCCTGTTGTAACTCCCTCTCCCACTGCGGGATGTCTGTGTCTGTAACATACGAAAGCAGTTTATTAAAAAGGCTGTATTTACATAATACTGTATAACACTACAGTTTCGTATATTTCCAGCTTAAAAAGTTAAAACTTTTTATGATTTATTACGTAATGATATACTTTAGTACAAGATTCATAAATAAACAAGCTAATTAGTGACCTTTGACCTTGTGCTTTTGACGTTTGGATATGATTTGGGACTCAGAGGTTGAAAGGTATACAAAAGTGTTCATCAACCAGGCGATTAAACATGGCAGTTTAAAGATGGGCACCCTTTTGCTACTCCATTTATGACAGAATTTTTCAAATCTCCTGCTCTTTTTCAAAGATTGAAATAGACTAGTTCGAGTTAGATAAATGTGAAACACAGCAGTCATTCAGTGTGTACCTCATTGTAGAAATTACTTCCCAGCATTTTGGGAAACATTGGTACATCTGGGAATCACAAGACAACTATAGGATGATGTACATTGATAAGACACACCAAACCTACGGTACATCTGGGAATCACAAGACAACTATAGGAGGATGTAAATTGATAAGACACACCAAACCTACGGTACATCTGGGAATCACAAGACAACTATAGGATGATGTACATTGATAAGACACACCAAACCTACGGTACATCACAAGTTAAAAACTCTGTGGTTAAAAGGTTTCCATCCTGTTAGGGCGCATCCCTACAATGACATGGATTGCACTTTTCTATGGTTTTTAAAACATTGATTCTCCATACAACTCCATTATAGGTATACAACATTACATACATAAAACCCCTTACAACTCCATTATAGGTATACAACATTACATACATAAAACCCCTTACAACTCCATTATAGGTATACAACATTACATACATAAAACCCCTTACAACTCCATTATAGGTATACAACATTACATACATAAAACCCCTTACAACTCCATTATAGGTATACAACATTACATACATAAAACCCCTTACAACTCCATTATAGGTATACAACATTACATACATAAAACCCCTTACAACTCCATTATAGGTATACAACATTACATACATAAAACCCCTTACAACTCCATTATAGGTATACAACATTACATACATAAAACCCCTTACAACTCCATTATAGGTATACAACATTACATACATAAAACCCCTTACAACTCCATTATAGGTATACAACATAACATACATAAAACCCCTTACAACTCCATTATAGGTATACAACATTACATACATAAAACCCCTTACAACTCCATTATAGGTATACAACATAACATACATAAAACCCCTTACAACTCCATTATAGGTATACAACATTACATACATAAAACCCCTTACAACTCCATTATAGGTATACAACATAACATACATAAAACCCCTTACAACTCCATTATAGGTATACAACATTACATACATAAAACCCCTTACAACTCCATTATAGGTATACAACATAACATACATAAAACCCCTTACAACTCCATTATAGGTATACAACATTACATACATAAAACCCCTTACAACTCCATTATAGGTATACAACATAACATACATAAAACCCCTTACAACTCCATTATAGGTATACAACATTACATACATAAAACCCCTTACAACTCCATTATAGGTATACAACATAACATACATAAAACCCCTTACAACTCCATTATAGGTATACAACATTACATACATAAAACCCCTTACAACTCCATTATAGGTATACAACATTACATACATAAAACCCCTTACAACTCCATTATAGGTATACAACATAACATACATAAAACCCCTTACAACTCCATTATAGGTATACAACATTACATACATAAAACCCCTTACAACTCCATTATAGGTATACAACATAACATACATAAAACCCCTTACAACTCCATTATAGGTATACAACATTACATACATAAAACCCCTTACAACTCCATTATAGGTATACAACATAACATACATAAAACCCCTTACAACTCCATTATAGGTATACAACATAACATACATAAAACCCCTTACAACTCCATTATAGGTATACAACATTACATACATAAAACCCCTTACAACTCCATTATAGGTATACAACATAACATACATAAAACCCCTTACAACTCCATTATAGGTATACAACATTACATACATAAAACCCCTTACAACTCCATTATAGGTATACAACATTACATACATAAAACCCCTTACAACTCCATTATAGGTATACAACATAACATACATAAAACCCCTTACAACTCCATTATAGGTATACAACATAACATACATAAAACCCCTTACAACTCCATTATAGGTATACGACATTACATACATAAAACGGCCTTACAACTGTGATTGTTGTCTTGCCAACAAATCAACACTTCAGCTTAGCAAATCAGCTAAAAACGCTTAACATCAAATAACACGACACAAAGGGGCTTCTATCTGATATTTATGCAATCAATATTTTTCATCCATCACATGAAAGCATTTTTCTAAACCCAAACAGATTTCAAGATTATATAACCCTAATCCATACACTTTGTGAGATCGGTACATGGACCTTTTACTGGGATCAATTATTCAGATGGAATTAAGAAATAATGTGAAGTACAATATAATCTATCACCGATTTGAGAATTGGAACACGTGGTATAAAATGTTTTGGTATGGGTTCTGATTTATACAGGTTCTCGGTGACAGTTTTGTCGAGCAGGTTCTGATCTAACCACCAATAATCCATGCTGTTTTTCAAAAGTTGTTAGCGGTAAACAATATGTCTTCTCATAAACCGTTTAACTTCAGATCCCTTTTCCTTCCTTCTGATGAGAACAACAGTTACATTAAGAGATTTAAAGATAGGAGTTCCTTAAGTTTCTGCCAACATTTAAATGACAGGGAAACAGTAAATCATAATTATTAAGTTTACTTTTAAAGTTTCACAGCCATGTGTTGGTATATAATTCACCATGAGATCCCAGAATAGCCTTCAGTTTTGCTTCAGATCAGTTACAATACTTGTCAAAGTATCCCGTTGTATTAATGAAAACGCCCAAAACACTTCATCATTTTGAAAGGTTCGAAGGCTGGAACAGCTCAGGTTGGAGGAAGGGAGACCCCTCCCCAGCTTCTCTCCACCCTAGCTATCATTCCAAGCTTCTCTACCTTCCTAGCTACCCAGCTATTTCTTTTCCTATTTTCTTCCCTCCCCTTGTAAGTTTTTATTTTTCCCCAACCGATTCTCTCTCTCCACAGCTAAAGGTTCAAAAGTACACAGTCTAAGAAACTAGCTTGATTTGTTTTATAACAATTATTAAATAATTTATAACAACTTATGTTAATCAATCATGGCTGGCCAAGACGGTAAAGTGCAGGGGTCTTAATGTTGGAGGAAACAAGAGAACCTGAAAAAACCCACTAATTTCTTTTCACATCTGATTGGAGTATCAAACCTTAGCGAGTTTGCTATCCATAGCACCATCTGACCACCCTAGCACCATCTGACCACCCTAGCACCATCTGACCACCCTAGCACCATCTGACCACCCTAGCACCATCTGACCACCCTAGCACCATCTGACCACCCTAGCACCATCTGACCACCCTAGCACCATCTGACCACCCTAGCACCATCTGACCACCCTAGCACCATCTGACCACCCTAGCACCATCTGACCACCCTAGCACCATCTGACCACCCTAGCACCATCTGACCACCCTAGCACCATCTGGGAACCCTAACAATGCAGCCTAGTGATAATATACCTGTATGAAGTTTGATTGCCATAAACTGTTAATTTCCCCAAAAATATGAAACATGAAATAAACCTATGCATTAGTCACCACCTCCAATGCCCCAGATGGAAGAAAGCAGTAGTTAGGAGGTTAGGCTCCATAGAAGCAAATTTAAACACTTTAACGCGTGCCATAAAGATAAGCTAACAAACTAAAGACAACAGGTTATTAAATTAATTTGAAATAATGTCATTTCTGCCATTAACTAAAATTGAGCAGTCAGAATTTGTTCATATTTCATCCTCATCACCGACTAATTTTTGATTCAGCAACTTATTAGGCAGTAAAATGCCATTTCTACCAGATGACCTTGACTTTAATTGTCAGTGCCCTACAAACCTGACTTTTAAAGTGACCCTTGGAATTTATCAATAACATGAAAAACAATTCATGAAAACAATAAAGATAAATGACATTTTGCTTATTGTAAGTAAGGAATCAGTCATAACAGTGTGCTATTTTAGACCATAGTAAGCTGCAGCTGTTGCCAACATTTCATCGGTCTTGCTAATTCAGCCTTACAGGGATGAAGTTCCAACACAGGAAAGCTATTTCACAAATGCTTCATCATCATGCAACAAGGAAAGAAAGACAAGTATCTAAGATTAGTTGTCCCCCTCCCTATCACTCAACCCACACAAGAAACCGATTTGTTCCCTCTCCCCCTCCACACCAACACCAACAGATGATTTTTCTCCACCTACACACTACGATTTGCCTCCTCCCCCCAACACACCAAGATGACCTCCCTCTCCCTAATACCCAATACACACTCTTTAATTAAGATGATTTGCCCAAAACCCACACAAGTATACCCCCTAACCTACACACTAAGATAAATTTCTTCAACTCAAAAGCATACACTGTTTTTTTTTTGACAATTTCTGATTCTTCTCTTATGCTACATTTATATTATGTTCCCGGTAGCCACGGCAATCACGTTTCAGGCCAACGTGGACAAAGCGGGATGGACGTGAGATAACGCGGGGGGACTGGATGGGCCAACGTGACAGGCCGTGATTGCCGCGGTTGCCGGGCTAGATTTTGTAAATGTCAAAACATTTGCCACGGCAGTCATGGTGCGGATGAGAAACCTAGTAGACCCTAGTAAAACCGGGTGAACGCAACAAAACGTGACAGCACGTAATAGGCCATAATATAACTTGGAGGCGGTCCGTAGTGGGAAGGGAAGCATGTGTATTTCCCGGCATCTCACAGTCTTTTCAAGTTTT